ACTTAGTTTCTATAAAAACTCTTTCTCTCCCTCACCTTTAGGGGATGGAGAATATTGTGCCTGTCCAATGTATTATTCTATAATATTCTAGGCTATAGTCTAATCACATTTTATATTGTATTTCTAGTTTATTTTGTTTTGTACCATACAGCTCCGTAGTCATAGTCATTTACTCTGCATACTTGAGCCCCATCTACTGGCAATCTTTCTTTTTTGTCAGACTGTACCAACTTGTTGGGTCACTTGAGTGGGTGAGAGGGTGGATGCCATGCCTTTGAGAACTCGCATTACCTCCTATTTATATTTCACACATAACCTTAAACTGCCTTGATTTACAGACCTCAACAGTTTTTTTTTTTTTTTTTTGGCGAATTTGAGTACCCTATTATCATTATCCACATGTTACATTGTCAGGTGAGCTTGACTCAATCCAAGATTATGTCATGGTCATTTTAGAGCTAAACTTCTCTCTGGAATTTTATTTACAAATCCTCTCCGGCTTTGAATGTGGAATTGGGGAAGCCAAGACACTCGATCATCCCAGTGCAGCTGATACAGTGATGTTCCCAAGATAGTTTACATGAACACACTCACATGGACCCATCCTCACATCTCGTGTTAAAGGAATGCTTTTGATTTTGCATGCCAGAACATATAACAGCTTAATTTAAGATAATGAATCCAAATCAACAGTAAAGTAGCATGAACTTTGTCTTTCGGTGCAGATGAAAAGGATTGTTGTTTCTCAATATTATAACAGGATAAAGTGTGCAGAGATAAATTTAGCAGCACAGGGAGGGAACTCTATAAAACCAGCTCTGCTCTGCTGTGCAAAAACATCACAGACAGTCATTACTACACAACACAAGACTTCCAGCACTTGCAGTCATCAATGTACATCTGTTGTAATTATTTTTAATTTTAGCTTGTATAATTTTTCTCCTGTATCTCTAATCCCTAAATATCCCTCCACACTCAAACTCAGCTCAATGCAAGAAAAAGCCCTGTTTCACAGCCTTATGTCCACTTCAGTGGCTCTGCCCTTCATTCACAGCACAGTGATAATTTGTCACAGGTTTATCTGCTCTGTGCACAATGCCCCACTTGACATATAATGAGTGTGTGTTTTCTGTTTTCCAGGTATTGACAGTTTCAATCAATAGATTCAAGTGGAATCATATGATACATAGAGGAAGCAGTTGCACTACTGTTTAAAAGTTTGGGGTCAGTGAGATTTTATGTTTAATTATTTATTTATTGGTATGTTTTTGAGAGAAGTCTCTAATGCTCTCTGAGGCTGCATTTATTTAATCAAAAATACAGTTGAAACAGTAATATTGATTTAAATGCCTGTTTTCTATTTTAATATATTTAAAAAATGTAATTTATTCCAGATTTTTAGCAGCCATTACTCCAGTCTTCAGTGCCACATGATCCCTCTAATATGTTGATTTTCTGCTTAAGAAACATTTATTATAATTTTATTATCAACGTTGACAACAGCAGCTTAATATTTTTGTGGAAACTGATACTTTTTTCAGTATTCTTTGATGAGTAGAAAGTTCACAGGAGCACCATTTATATAAAATAGAAATCTTTTGAAACATTATAAATGGCTTTCACTTTTGAAAGACAAATGAATGCATCCTTGCTGAATAAAACTATTAATTCCTTACTAACCCCAAATTTTTAAAGGATAGAGCATTTAAATGTATATCCATATGGTATTAACCCTGATTCATCGTCATTAACGTCCTTCAGAGTTCAGTTCTCAGTTGGTGGTGGGATTTGTGACGATCATTGGAAATGCTGGGCTCTAGTGTCTTAATTTTCATTCCTCTCTCAGCTGATTCTCCTGTGGTAGGATATTTTGAATCACGACTCATGTCCCTCCCGAAATCTCATTCTTAAATAACTCCTCTGAGAGAGGCAGCAGGCACCTTCACTCAACTGACCAAAATAGCCCAATGGGCAGCTTTACGCTAGTATGCTGTCATAAAGCCCACTCCCCACCCAATGCCAGGTCCTGCTCTGGCTAAGGGAAGAGGACACTGACACAGACACATATAGACACCGGAGCTCAGAAGAGTACTAGAACAGCCACTTGTGTTCACATACTATAAACCTTGCTGAGCATAACTGGACTAAGAAACTATTTTTCACACAGATTGTGAGGAGTAACATAATTTCAGGGCCTACTTCATGTGGGAAGGAGGAGAGACTGTTTAACAAGAAGTAAACAGCTGAGAAAGATTGTCATCATGAAGTTACATGTGGCACTATTTTTTGCTGAGCTCTTTGGTGCCTTGGCAACTCTATTCATTCTCTTGTCTTTTGGCACGGACTATTGGCTCTTGGCATCAGAGACCTGCAATTCACATTCAAATGGTCCGGTTACTTTGCAGGTGGGTGGAAGTGTTGTTTCATTTCTTTAAAAAAAATGCTTGAAATGGATGAGTGTTTTATTGATATGAATATTAGTTCTGGGGCATTGTCAGAAGAATAGATTTAGGGATAGTCTGTTTAAAAATACGAAATGAATCTCTTCAGAATTGTTTTGGATTTTAGTGTATCTGTTTTGTATTGAAACTAAACTGAACTATAGATTTCTGCACTCTGATCCTTACTGAAGCAAGACCCTCAAGCAGTCATGGGCATATTTGGTTTATAAGCAGTGACAGTCATATGACATCCTCATACGTCACTATTTACAGTCTCCGAGTTGCTTGAGTGTAGACTATCACATGCTGTGGTTTGATACCACACTTAATACTAAATAACGAAACTGGAATCTCAGTGCAGTGTCTATTCATAGGAGTCACAAATGACTTAGGTTTCCCTCATAAAGCACTGGGAGGGAAAATTCAGTTGTAACTGAAATGCGTCCAACTTGATCTCATGAGAAAACGTCACTATTTTACTAAGCTGAAATGGTTTTTCAGAAAAAAGTCATAAGACATCCTCATACGTCACTATTTACAGTCTCCGAGTTGCTTGAGTGTAGACTATCACATGCTGTGGTTTGATACCACACTTAATACTAAATAACGAAACTGGAATCTCAGTGCAGTGTCTATTCATAGGAGTCACAAATGACTTAGGTTTCCCTCATAAAGCACTGAGAGGGAAAATTCAGTTGTAACTGAAATGCGTCCAACTTGATCTCATGAGAAAACGTCACTATTTTACTAAGTTGAAATGGTTTTAATATTTTGTTACATTTATCCTGCTTCTCACCATGAAAATACCCATTGTAGCTGACATGGTGTTACAATACAATCATACAAACGAACAAATATTTTTATAGATTTTTTTTGTTTTGTTTTAATAATTAGTTTGCTTTAAATAATTTGCTTACTTCATTGAATAACTGTGTATCTAGATAATTGTCTTGCTGTGATCTCAGCTGTTGATATGAAATTAAAATGAACCATATTTACTTTCACAATGTATATTTACTTTTCATCGACTTATTGTTCTTATTCTAAGTTTAAAAAAAATCAAAATCAAAATGTAGTTACTTGCTCTGTCTCTGAAATTCTGACTTTTTGGTTGACATCCACAAATGACTTAGGTTTCCCTCATAAAGCACTGGGAGGGAAAATTCAGTTGTAACTGAAATGCGTCCAACTTGATCTCATGAGAAAACGTCACTATTTTACTAAGCTGAAATGGTTTTTCAGAAAAAAGTATGCATCAAAGGTCCACCCCCAAACGTAACTGTCAGTGGTTGTACTGTGGCTACAAATTCATCAAAACGTAAAATAGTTTTGACGAATTGCCAAAAGAGTGTGTTGGATGCAACTGTGTGCTTGGATTCTGAAAGACAGATGTCAACAGCACCAACAGGAAGTCTACAGGAAAGCTTGATGTTGAACTTTTTTCACGTATCATAGTAATTCTGTATATTTTGACTGGTGGTGCTTAAATGTAAATATAAATATCTCCAGATTTCTTTTTGTAGAGAATAATTGCAACGCTTACTTGCTATTGGTCTAGTGCACACTTCTCTTGAAGATTCCTGCTATTAGCTGTGTTTTTGGTTTCTAGGTGGTCAGGCTGGTCATTAGTTGGTCATTGGATGGTCTAAGATCATCCAAGCTTTTTTTTAAACATTGGCACTGGGCTAACGGGCTAACGGTTACCAGTTTAAGTTGGATTTTCGAGCAGGGTTGAGTCAAATGCCATAAAGCACCTCTGCAATCCATAATGTTCTTGATTTTCTTTTTTGTAAACTGCATCTACACACATAAATAGCATGCGACCATCCATAGACTGCAAGTGTCTGTTCTCTAGTTGTTTTCAAATTTGTAATTTCACTGGCTTCACAACATGTGTCCATTGCTCTCTGACCTCTTCTCTCTTCTCCTTCACAGCGAGGTGATATTATGTTTAACCGGGGTCAGGACCAATTTAGTGAAGACCAGAACATTACTTTTCATCACGAGGGCTTCTTTTGGCGCTGTAGCTTTAATGAATTCATGAACAATGATGATCTGTGGAAGTTCTGGTTTGGTAAGAGGCTGTTATATTTCCTTTGGTGCAACATCATTAACTAATTTTAATTAATTGAACCTTATTATAAATTGTTACCATTATTTAATATTACAAAGTGTGAAGTGCTCAGTCATGCTCACTGAACGTGGCATTTGGCCCTCTTGTGAAGCTCTGGGTGAGACTTTGCCACAAATATCATAGGGGTCTGACCTGTTGCCCTACAGAAGGCCACAGAAGGTTCAAAGAAAGGGAATAGTTGTTCAGATTACCAACTCGAATATGCTACAGTTCTGAATCTTAATGGAAGCAATTATTTATTTGAAGGAACAATGAATAATGAACTAGCACACTAATAAATGACAATTCATCTTGTTCTTCCCTTAGAAAATCAGCCACATGCGAGGGAATGCAAACCTGCATATCTTCTTCCCTTTCCGTTCCCTGACCAGATCTACAACACTACCAGTTATCAGACTGCCATAAGTACGTTTATTGATTGTTGAAGTTTATTTATTTATTTATAATTGGAATTTATTTATTTAACAGATGAATATTGTTTATGCCCCAATGCCAAATTCCAATATCAATATCTTTCAACTCCTCTACATTTCTCTCTCTCTCTCTAGTTGTTTTTAAATTCGGTTTATTAATATTTTGTTACATTTATCCTGCTTCTCACCATGAAAATACCCATTGTAGCTGACATGGTGTTACAATACAATCATACAAACGAACAAATATTTTTATAGATTTTTTTTGTTTTGTTTTAATAATTAGTTTGCTTTAAATAATTTGCTTACTTCATTGTTTGTAACCAAACAGTTGACGGTAGCCATTGACTTCCATAGTATTTTTTTTTCCATACTATGAATGTCAATGGCTGCTGTCAACTCTTTGGTGACAAAAATTATTCAAAATATGTTTTCATTTTTGGGTGAACTATCCATTTAATTATCTGCAATTCAACTCTGAGGATGCGTTGACTTAATGACAAGGTGGGGTACAACTATTATGATTTTGAATTTTGCAAATATGGCTTCAGTACTTGGCCATCATGTGTGCTGTGAGCAGTACTGTAATCATTGATGAAGGATGTTTGGGAACACCTCATGTATGTGTGAGTATAGTATTGCACAAAGCATTAAATTATGTTTAATATGTCTTTTAATAACCTCTACATTTTTATATTACTCGGAAAAAACAACAAAACATGTTGGTAAACTCTTTTTGACTGTTTAAACTCTATCAAGTACACATTTACACATTTTTTGAGTTTGTATTGCATTTTGATTATTCATTTATTGGTGATTTCTAGAGTGTTTTCCCTCTCAGGCTTTGAAACAGTCTAGACAGACTTTGTAGCATTGTAGAAATATCCAGCTGACCTGAAAGTTTTACGTTTTACTTGCACAGCTTGTACACACACATATATATATATATATATATATATAATTGCTTTGTAAATAATATTATATATTGCTATCACGTACAGCTGATATGTACTGTGATATTTCGAAAAATTAATTAAACCTTTAATTAAAAAAAAAATCTCTGTAAATTCTTTATTAAAGTTGCAAGGGTTGTTGATTGGATTTTTGAGATGTGGGTGTTGAACTAAAAAAAAAATGAATGCAAGCTTGTTGTCGATTGTGAAATTGAAGATCGAGTTTTGATTAAAAATTACAAGGTCATTAAAAAAATCAAACCCATAATAAATGGATGAATTGTTCACAATAAGATCAATAACATGCATTTAAATGGATGCATTTCATGCCGACTTTAATACCTTAACCTTCAGCTGTCAGTACTGAGTAAATAAATAAATACTCAGCCCTTATTTAATCCAAGCAAACACAGAATGTTTTCCTAAAATTCCAATTTGGGGAACCACATTTTTGGAGAACCAAATAAGAATGTTGTAGGAATGTTCTCTGGTGTGTGCTTTGTGACAGCTAAAGGGAACCTAACATTCCTTATTGGTTTTTAGTGTTTTTTTTTTTTACAACCAAAAACAAACATTTCCAGAACCAAAAACTGCATTCCATGGGTAAAGAAAGAAAGGTAGTCCAAATGAGAATGCAGTTTTAAGACTGAACATATGAGGCAATATTACCTTTTCCCATCAGAGACAGACAGAAGACGAGACACTGACAGGTGCGTCCATATAACAGCAGAATGGCTGGGAGCTATGACTCATCTATATGGCAGGTGACAGCTGTGCGCTCTCACTATACGTAGGACTGTTTGAGGCAATGCTACAAACATTAAACTTAAGCATGCATATCAATAAATGTATTACTGCATGCTCTCTTACTGCATGCTCTCTTTCCAAACTGTTTGCCGCAGAACTCATTGAGGGTGTGTGTATCTATTTCTGCATGTTTGTATATGTATTACTGTCAGTCTTTAGCATGTCTATATCTGTATTCGGTTTCTCTCGAGCCAGCTGTAGGCCTCCTGCAATGCTATACAGTGTGTTATTTAAAGGTCTTGGATCATATTGCACATGAGAACAGAGCTGAGCATGCTCATACTGACCTTAGGTCTGAACTGAGGTAATGTGTACAGATGGAAAGGATTTAGTGTTACTCGGATAAACCAGTTTGACCATTGTTTCCTGAAAACGGCTGCAGTTAAACTGTGCTAAACCAGTTTTCACTTTATGACCTGTGAGATTGACCAATAATAACTTTTCAAAACATGTCAGTTCTAATATTTGACCCTGTAGTTATTTGTGGAAGTCACTTAAAATCAAAAGATGTTTGTCCTTTTTTTAAGTGTTTATTTATAAAAATATATATTGAATATTTGTGGGGGTCCATCTACATTTCAGCCACTAGAGGTCACTGTTACATGAGAAATCAATGCATACTCAAAACACTAGACAATAAGATGGAGTATATTAAGTTAGAACTTAATGTATGTTTGACACATGAGACACATAAATAAATGTAACAGAACTAACAGTTTTTCCCTTTTATTAGTGGGGTAATATCTTGGTCATACATTACTAAAAGGTCCTATAAGTTGGTTCATACATTTACTAACAAGGAACTTTACAACAGTATTTATTAATCTTTGTTAACATTTATTAATAAACAAAATACAACTTTATGTCATGTCATGTCAGCTCAGGTACATTAAATAATATTAACAGATACAACTTTTGATTTTAATAATGTATTTGTAAATGTTGAAATTAACATTAACTAAGATTAATAACTGCTTTATTATGAAAAAAAAAAAATGAATAAATACAAGTTTTTTTTTTAAATACTGTTAGTTCATGTTAAGTAACGTAGTTACCTAATGTTAACAAATGGTACCTTATTGTAAAGTGTTAACAAAATCTTTTTCAGGGCTGATGCTAAAATTCATGGGGCTTATAAATTTATAAAATTAGGCTTCTACGCATTAATGTTTTCATGGCACAGTGTTTTTATCATTGTTATAACAACAACAGTTTCTGTTTAACTTGTGACAGTCATTTCTGTTAATCATTTTTATGTGTTTTCAGTAATTAAAACTTCTTATCTTAATTTTATTTTATCTAATCCAAAGAGTCGGCTATATCATAATACAACAAATGAAGACATATCTACTTACATGTTTGCCCTTGGTAACAGGTCATTTCTGATATGCGTTTGTTGAATTCATTTACTTATCATTTACGTATTTCAATTAATTCATTTACTTATGCTTCAGGATTTTTATTTTTTTTACCTTAAAACTGTCTACTATGAAATATTCACCTCCACAAAAAATCATCTTAATCATATACTTTGGATGTAGCTTCTAATTTAAACATATCAGAGTTGTCTGTAATTGTGAGATGTGGGATTGATGTTCCAGGTACCTTACACAACTCACAAGTTTTCAGCATACTCTCTGTGGGATGTGACACAGATGTGTGAATTAATTCTGAACGTGTTGAAAGAGAAAATAACTCTGCATAGATGGTTTGTGCTTTGTGGACTCTGTAACCCAGACTGCAATATACTGTACATTAATGTGCATCACACTTTGGTGTTCGAAAGAGGTTTATCTAACCACACATTGTGTGTGTGAATATGTGACGGGGGTGAAAATCAATCAGTCAGAGAATACATAAAAAGCCATGGAATTATGGACTGAAAATCAAATCAACAGGAAATATCTGAAGAGAATATTGACGGGACACTGGCTTTCTTGTGATGCACTGTCAATAAATGCATTTTTGTGTGCCGTTGCGAATCTGGGTGAGAATGTCATTACTTCCTTGGTCCATGGTGATTGTTGTGTGGTTCCACATGATTAGGCCAGATAATTGTGTGTTGATAATAAGCATGTTCACAGCACTGCACAAAACACTGTGTTCCACAACAAGACTCTCATGTGGGCTGCCAGGACAGTCGGGAGCTGTAGATTATGTACAGTACGTGACCTCAGGTTAGACTGAGAGACAGTGACCTACAGATTCAGTGCATCAACACCTTTTTAGTACACAGTAAAAATCAAGGCATTTCTGAACAAAACAGACCCAATCATGCATGCATTTATGACAGTAATATGACAAACTGGGGAGTGTAGTTAAATTTTTTTTTCATTGTCTATAATGATTTTTTTTAAACTTAGACATCAGTTTAAAAGATATACATTACAAATAAATGACAAATGCATTTGAAAAATTCAAAACAGCATACAAAAAAATCAAACAATCTGGTTACAATGTATACAGCAATTCATTACACAGTAGTTCTAACTAACCAAATACACATTTTTATTTGGGGAAAAGTCTTTTCTCAGGCCGCATTGCTAAAATTCACAGGGTACATAACATAATTTTTATATTTAGGCCCCCTTCTACACTTCTGCACAGTGTTTTCATCACTATTTTGACATGCTCACTATGTGACAACATGTTTCTTTAACTTGTGTCATTTCTATCATTTCTACTCATTTTATGCCTTTTTTTTAGTAATTAAAAAAGTGGTCTCAAAAAGTGCAATGAACTCATCATTACACTTTGTAACATTTTTTTTTTTTCCATTTCGTATTAAAAATGTAATGAAGTAATTCAACTGTTAAATGTTAGTGGATTTATTTATTGATTTATTTATTTACTTACAGTCATATTTTAAAACTTGAAAAAAAGGATGTAAACTGGAATAATATCCCCCCCCCCCATTTAATAATAGTTAATAATTTAACTATTATTTTATTGAAACCAAAAAAATCTGAATTTGAATTATTGTTTTGGACAATGGGGGGCAAAAAGATTGATAATGTAGATGAAATGCTTATATGGATGTTTTATATCAAATTAAACAAGAGAACCTGCTGATTTAGATGATACCTGTTATTTAACATCATTGATATTGATCACAAATCAAATTATAAACCGGACGTGGCATTTTATATTCTTGCCTCATAATTGATTTTTGTCCTGTGCATCTGATAAGCCTACTGGTTCTTCATATGTATATGTGACATGGATACAGATGTTGGCTGTGTGTTAATCTGA